GCATTATCATTGTCCCACTGTAAATAAATTAGGTAGGAGATGTTCTGCCACAAAATCTGATTCTCCCGTAGTGCTGGTCCATATACAGGACTTATATCCAGTACTGCAACTATTTTTACCAAGATCTGTGTGCTATATCTAAAGATTCTGCAGATGAATCAGTTCAATATAAATAGTTTGTCATATTATTTTTTCTTTTTTGTTCTTTTGTGATATTTTTGTGTGTGTGTTTTTGTTTATTTTTAACCTAGGAAGCTACATGAAAGAGAAATTGAAGACTAGAAGACTAGGGCTTTGTAAAGGTAGCAAAGTCAAGTATCTAAAGGTTAAAAAAAAAATCCAAATTAAGAGCTAGATCTGTACTAATAGATTCACATGCACCTGCGGAAGAGTCAAAGGGTTGTCTGGCATCCACATTATTAAGCTCTCTTACTCTCTTAAACAGAGTAGCCACATCCATATTATCACTTATAAATTATAATAATGCAATTACAATGTTAAATGTCTGCTAAGTATATTTACAAAAGTGCTGCCTTTCCAGCCCATACACATGTTATGATGGTTGGCTTCAAGCAGGGATAAGGAGGCTGGCAAGGAAAGAACTATTTCTGTCTCCTCTTCTCCATAGGTTTGTAATTACTTCATGTATTTTTAAACATCAGGTTTTTTTAGGGTAGTGGAGGACTTACTTGTGAGCTAATTTGTGTTCTTGGCACAGAATATCTTGTGTCTAGTTCAGAAACTGCTGGCTGTTAGACTACAAAATTCCCATCTGCTTCAGTACAAGTTTTCTGGGATTTAGTGTGATTACAGGAAAAATACTTGAACTGTTTCTTCTGTTTTTAAAGGCTTGAAGAGCTGATTTGTGTAACAAATTGCATTAATTTCTTAAATATTTTCAGTATTGAGCATTGTAGAACCACAAAAGCAATAAGCTCAGAGAACAGAGATCAAAAGATAACAGTTTGAATTCCAGTATTGGAAATATAATCAATGTATGGAAAAGCAGATTAACAAAAGAAGGGACAATAATTTTTTATATAGTACTTTAATAATTTACAAGACTTTACAATGATTCAAGTTTTTTTAATAAGTATCTTCTCATTAGAAACGTGTTCTAGTACTTAGTTCATTAAGGTTTATTTCTCCTTTTTTACCTTTATTTCCATTAATGTTAATTGGTTAAAAACATATTTTTGTTGAATTTTAATCCCTGTGATAATTACACTGTATTAATGTAATATTCCTGTAATATTAATGACAGGACAAGTGGAATGGTTTTAAAGTAAAAGAGGGGAGGTTAGATTAGAGGTTAGGAGGAAATTCTTCCCTCAGAGGGTGGTGAGGCCCTGGCACAGGCTGCCCAGAGAAGCTGTGGATGCCCCATCCCTGGAGGTGCTCAAGGCCAGGCTGGATGGGGCTTTGGGCAACCTGGTCTGGTGGGCAGTGTCCCTGCCCATGGCAGAGGGTTAGAACTAGATGATCTTTAAGGTCCCTTCCAACCCAAGCCATTCTATGATTCCATAATTACAACTTCAGAATATTTTCAAAGATATTGTTAAGTGCTGATATCCATCAACTTCTCATATGAAGTTGTGTTGCCAGTTGTTCCTATTGCTGTTGACTGTCTGACTTTGGGTGTTTCTAGATTTTGGTATGACTATATACCTACTTTTAATTTTCATGTTTTACTTCTGATTTCAACTGATTGTCATGCTGCCTAATATAGTTATTTTTAAAATTATTTAAATTGGATGCCTAGGATACATCTCATATCATAAGAACATAAATTATATGTTGTAGATGGTAAATATCACAACCTTGTCTGGTAACTAAAACAGTTCTTTGGTTTTACATATATGGATTTATACTTTATATATAATAAGGTATATAATATATAATTCTATTATTTTTTATTTTATTCAGAGTTATGCCCATTAAGGTGCTTTCAGAGTACCCTAAGAATTCAATGCTAGACTTTTTCAATGAGTTGCCATAATAAAGACTGAACAAAAAGGCCTTGTCTAAATTCTGTGTAGTGTGCATGTCTATTCTGAATAAGAAAATCATTCAGCTGTTACTGAATAAAAGCAATAAAATCCCAGTGAACAAAAACTACCTCAGAGAGATTATAGTAAAAGTTCAGTAATTTTGCCAGCCATCTTCTGTCTGTTTCTCTTCTTGCAGTGCCTGCTAATGCCTGGATCACATTGTAAAGATGTGTTACTTGCAAAGCATAAAAGCCAAGGGAAACTTCCACTTTGACCTGAAGTAAAGCCTTCTCATACCTGGAAAGATCAAATGATCAGAATAAGAGAGCTGCAGTATTCAGTTCTCAGTGTGATTTATAGTCCTGTAAAGACTATCATTTGATAATTAGGGACGGAAACATTAAAGGATCCTCAAGTCATCCTTGTGGTTTTAATTTTGTTATGTCTTTAATGAGAAAGCCCTTTACAGAGTAGACAAAATGTATACTGTTCTTATTTTCCATACAGACGGGATTTTTATTAATTTTAAAGAAAAGAATCATAAGATGGCTTGGGCTGGAATCATAGAATGGCATCCTGCTTTTAGTTGAAAACTATTCCACCTTGTCCTATCAATATCTGCCTGTGTAAAAAGTTTTTTTGTTGTTCTCCATCTTTTTAATAGCCCCCTTTAATATCTAAAAGGCCACAATGATGTCTCTTTAGAGCCCTCTCTTCTCCGGGGATGAACAATCCCCACTCCCTCAGCCTGTTTTCACTGGAGAGGTGCTCCAGCCCCTCGATCATCTTTGTGGCTCTCCTCTGGACCCAGTCTATTAAGTCCACATCCTTCTTGTGTTGGAGCCTCAGACCTGGACACAGCACTCCAAGTGGGGCCTTATTCATGTAATTACAAACTTATTCCAGAATGGATTAATATTGTATCTTCTGTTATTGGATCTTTATGATTATATGTAAACATTAAAATACAACTTGCTTTTTAACACTGACTTTTCAAACAGAAAGAACTTGTGTATTATTAGTATAGTCATAAAAGTTCAGAAAATATATTTTAAATGGCTTTCTCTAATGCTGGGTTTAATTCAGAATCACAGAGTGGTTTGGGTTGGAAGGGACCTTAAAGAACACCCAGTTCCAATCCCCTGCAGGGACACCTCCCACCAGACCAGGTTGCCCAAAGCCCCATCCAGCCTGGCCTTGATCACCTCCAGAGATGGGGCTTTGGGCAACCTGGTCAGGTGTGAGGTGTCACTGCCCATGGCAGAGGCATTAGGATTAGATGGTCTTTAAGGTCCATTTCAACCCAAATCGTACCGTGATGTTATGATACTAAAATCTTCCCAGGCACAGAGGTGAGTCTCACTGGTCTGTAGTTCCCTGCATCCTCCTTGCTACCCTTTTTAACACTGAAGTGATGTTTCCCTTTTTCCAGTAACCATGGACTTCACCTGACTGCCAGGGCTTTTCAAACATGATGAAGAGAAGCTTGGCACCATCAGCCAGTTCCCTTGGGACCCTGTGATGCACAGAATCAGGCCCCATAGACTTGTACCTGTTCAATTTCATCATCTGGTCTCGAACCTGCTCTTTGCTTACAGTGCGAGAGACTTTGCTCCCCCAGCCCCTGCCCAGAGGTTCAGCTGTGGGAAGCCTGACTGGCAGTGAAGAGTGAAGCAAAGCAGTTGTTGAGTACCTCAGCCTTCTCCATGTCTGTCATTACCAGTTCCCCCTTCTTGTTTGTCAGACAGAAACACTTCTCTTGGCCTTTCTTTTTTAAGCAATAAAACCTCTAGAATCACTTTGTTTGCACATCCCTTGCCAAGCTCAGTTCCATCTGTGCCTTGGCTCTCCTGCCCCCATCCCTGCATGTGTAGACAGCATCCCTGTGCTCTTCCCAGCCCCCATGTCCCTGGTTCCTCTGCCTGAGACAGCTTTTTCTCTTACATTGCAGTTTCTCTCTTACACTGCAGTTTGCCCAGCATGTCCTTGCAAAGCCATTCCATTTTCCTGCCTTCCCTGCATGATTTCTTGACACGGGGATGGAGAGCTGTTGTGCTCTAAGAAAAGCATCCTTCAAGAATTACTAGCTCCTCTGTCCCTGAGGACTGTTTCCCAGGGGGATCTCATCCACTAATAGAATATTTGAAGAGCTAGAGTTTGGCTCTTCTAAAAGTGAGGGTTGTGACTTTGCTGTTTGCCAGGCCCATATTCCCATATTCCTTCATATGATGACAACCAGAAAGCTTGCTGCCCGTCCCTGGGTGGGCTCGAACCACCAACCTTTCGGTTAACAGCCGAACGCGCTAACCCATTGCGCCACAGAGACATGCAAATTTGGTGCCTTTTATTTTTAATTGAATTCCACGTAGTTGTTCTTACAATTTGGTATTATAACAGTATCATTTGTTTCTCATTATGTAATCAAAAGGAGGTCTGTATCTAATATGTGTGTACCACGTTTGTTTGGATGGGAAACAGACATTCAGCTTAACTAAGGTAGCATCAGTACTGACTACATTGCAACCCAAAACTACAAAGATCTTAACTAACTGAAACCTTCCAGGACTCTGTGGCACACAGTCATTATGGTTCACCCGTTTGGATGTAGCTATGCAGACCAGAATTCACCTTACCAATCACAAATAACAGCCAGACCTACCTAGGCTCTGTTCATGGAAAATGGAGAGGCCAGGACATGATTCGTCACCTCCTCAAGGATGTGTTTAAGACAGATATGGTAAAACCTCCCACGTCTCTATAAAAGGAGGCTAGGTGACTGGTGTTGAGTCTTTAATGTGTTTTTTATCATTCAGGAAGACATTTGATGTTTTAATTACAGAAGATAGGATTATAACTGCTTCCAAGAAAGATTTTTTTATATAGTAACATTTTCTGCATTTATATTTCATTCTTATTTCCTCTCATTCACATTTTCCTTTATTCATGAGAAAAAGGAATGAAAAAGGGAGGGTTGATCTTCCTCTTGTGATTCATTCTATTATTTTGCAGGCACTGCTGAGGTGCACTCAGGAAGTACTATCAGCTAAAATTATAAATGTGAGTGAATTGCTGTGTTTTACTTTTGGGCCTCAGTTTGTGGTATGTCTCCACTATGAAGGAAATATCTCCACTATGCTTTACACTTCCCTTCCCAGCATGAGCAGCGGGAGTTGCCTTTTCCTCTTATCCTGTATGCTGTGCAACACTCTGCTCTCATTGTACTTCCTTATTTTTTCAGCAGAATTCTTAGTTAGCAATTTGTCTTTTCATTCCTTTCTTCTTGATTTGTTCACCATTTGAGTAGTAGATATAGAAAAGAGATTTGGAAAGGGATGGCAGTGCACCAAGTGAGGGGGTGAAGGATGAATGAAAGTTACGGCATTGAAATTGACAGTCTTTATGTGCTTGCCACAATTAGCATTTGGATGGCTTCTGAACCTATTTGTATATGATTGCCCTAGGCTGGAAGATCTGAAAGCAATTTCAAGTTTGGGAGTTCCCTGAAATTCACCTTCAGTTAAACTGTTGCTGTATCCTGAGCTAAATAACTTTTTAGGATCTAGGCTTGACTATTATCCTGAATTTGTCTCCCACTGTCTCAGTGGACTATATTAATTACCTTGGTTTTCTCACATATTGGGCAAATACTTTAGGACAAGAATTCTTAATTTCTGTTTTCTAAAATTTGCCCCACTGATGACATCTAGCTTGATGTTCTTTTGAATGGTTGTCCAATAAACAATATTTCCCTAAAATATTACTAAAAGTATTCATGGAGTACCAAACAGGTTGCAAAATTCCTGGAAGCTGCACAGGTGGCAGATTCCTGCTGAAGAGACAGTGCCAGTGTATAAGCATGTTCTGTTGTTGGGAACAACACTACTGAAACTGGAGTATCACCACAATGATTCTGCATGCTTAGCTGTTACTTTGAGCTGGAATGTCTTAATCTTCTTCCATGTCAATTTGCAAGACAGTAGAAGCATCTTAAATTAAAATAATACTCTATTAGGAGTGGAGGAAGAAAGAGGAGGGTGTGGAGGAAGTTCTGCATATGGTGTTTTAGCTGACCTGTCCATTTTTTTAACTTCTTAATGTCCTAGACAGGTTGCAAGTAGAGTCATCATTCACAGAAACAAGTTCCTTCCATACAAAACAAAGGCAATTCTGGCCTATCATCAATTATGTTAGTTAAACCAAGCAGCATCTTGGCATAGACAACAAACTTCATGATTACAGTCCTGAAGTGGGGGGAGGATTAGGAGAGTGAAATCATGTTAAAGAAGATTTTAGTTGGTATATTAAACTGGAAATCAGCACCTTACCATTTATATATATGTTAGTAACATTAAAGTAGAATGAAACTTTCAGCAGATCTAGGAAATGCAGTATATTTTTGTGCTAGAGGCAGAACATCTCATTAAGCATAGAATCTTAGTTAAGTGAATCGGAATAAAATATTTCTCTCTGACTACAACAGAACCACATTTTAAACTCTGATCCATATAGATGGTTAATGTATCTTTTCTCCTTCCTTTCTTACCAAATCCAACTACTAAGGCCAGCTGTCAGATCTGTTGGAGACATATATCTAGAATTTTCACAAAGATGTAAAAGAGTAGCACATTTCTTCACTCTGAATGCAGCTATAGCACCAGTAATTCCTGCACTTTATGCAAGTCTGTATCAAAAGTAGTTGCACCTGCTATTCAGCAAGTAAGTTGGATGCAAGTTACATAGCTTTAGTGATAATTTATACCTAGTATCAATATTTAGGAAACCTGTAGTAGATCAGAAACAATATGAGAAAAAAACTACTTTGTCTTTTACTTCTATGTGTAAATGTCATAGTTAGGTCCAATATACAGTTTTCAATCCCATCAATGACTGTTTTCAGGAGCAGTTTCTCAAGAAGCAGAGTCATTTCCTGACTTAATTCTGATCCATGGACAAGATTTTTTTCTTGTTAAGGACTATATTTTAACACTGGCCACACTGATGTTGGAGCAAATAATTTTGATGGAGCAGCCACAGCCGAAGAATCTTAGTCATTGTTCCTAACTTTAAAAAGGGATGCTACATAAAGCAACTTGTTAAAAAGAAAGAAAATTTTACATGGTGACTATTTCAAAGTATTGTATTAGATGCTCAAGGTAAATACATACTTAAGACATTGGAAGGACCTAGAAGAAGGTAAACCAGCAGAGCTAAAAATCAGGACAAGAGGAGTTACTAGATGTAGGAAGTTACTCATAATAATATGTTAGTTGTATCAAATGAGGAAAACAAGGATCAAACAAGGACCCGGTGTGCATTAAAAGGAGCCTGGCCAGCAGGTCAAGGGAGGTGATCTTCCCCCTCTACTCTGCCCTGGTCAGGCCTTACCTGGAGTACTGTGTCTAGTTCTGGGCTCACCAGTACAAAAAATACAGGAATCTCCTGGAAAGAGTCCAGCAGAGACCACAGAGATGATACAGAGCCTGGAGCATCTTCCTATGAGGAAAGGATGAGATACCTGGTTCTCAAGTTCAGCCTTGAGAAGACTGAGAGGGGATCTCATCAATGTTTACAAACATCTTAAGTGTGGGAGACAGAGGTATTGGGCCAACCTCTTTTCAGTGGTTTGTGGGGACAGGACAAGGGGCAATGGCCACAAGATAGAGCACAAGAAGTTCCGCACCAACATGTGAAGGAACTTCTTCATGGTGAGGGTGACGGAGCACTGGGACAGGCTGCCCAGGGAAGTTGTGGAGTCTCCTTCTCTGTAGATATTCAAGGCCTGTCTGGACGCCTACCTGGGCAGCCTGCTCTAGGGAACCTGCTTTGGCAGGGGGTTGGACCCGATGATCTCTTGAGGTCCCTTCCAACCCCTACAATTCTGGGATTCAGTGATTCTGTGAAAACTCCAGCAGGTTAAATGTAAAAGAACAGTAAAGGAGTCCTGTTTGGACTTGGTCCTGTTTGTATTCTAGAACCTGGAAAAAAAAATAAAAATCTAGTTTTCAGTTGCATCTGTCTGGTAGTTTTGCTTGTTTAGTCATTTAATTCTAAAGGAAGTATCATGAATACTGTAAATGAGATTGAAAAGTACAGACGTTAGACAAATAATAATTTCTAATATAGCACTTCAACCTATGCTGTGACTACCTTTCAGCTATTACAGTAGTACTTAAAATGTGCAAAGCTGTTAATTGTGACCATCTTGTGGTTATTATGTAAATTTGCACTGTGGGGTATGCAAATAGTTAATGAGGTCATATGAATTTCTCTGCTGGTTTCAACAAATTGCACTGCAGGGATTCATCTCTTTTTAGCTGATGTTACTAGTTTACAATTCAATCTGTAATATACTATATAATATGCAAATCTAAGCAAAGCAGAGTTGGACAAGATTGAATATATGATATTGGAATGATGGAGAGTTGAATTAGAAAATTTTCATCTTGTCATGAGAGTTTGAGTTTTCCCTGCCTTTCTGAATTTAACTTGAAAGTTTTCCATATGGATTCCACGAGTTCTTGATCCTTCCTATTTTCTTTGAACAACAGGTTTGCGTCAACTGTTTTTCCTCTGGTAGAAAAATACTACAGCAGCATTTATTTCCTATTGCTTAGTCAGTGGACTGCTTCTGTCTCCAGCAAAGACAAAAGGTCTCTAAATAGGTTGCCTTTTATTGCCTGCCTGAATGCCACCAAATTGTGAAGTCAGAGTCTTAATGTACTTCTGATGTTCATACTATATAATAACAACCTTCTAGCTTGATGCATTATATGAAAACATTAATGAAGATAATGTTCCATGAAGACACTATATGCAGACTGTATAAGTAGTTCTCACTTGTCTGAGTTGACAGGTGGTTTTATTTCAGCTTACTGTTCATTTATAATGACAAAAGAATTCAGGGAAGGTTAAAATGATTCAAATGGTGTTTCTACTGATCTGTTTTAGTTTAGCGCTCTATCACCTCTTTCATCCCCACACGTACTCTGAATTTTCTTGCATGTGAATGAATATGCTTCAGGTAAAAACTGAAGAGTAGAAGTACTGATGACTGAAGTTCCTTTTCAAAAGAATCTATATAACATGAGCATCAGTGGTGCAAATTTCTTCATGACACTTCACCATTTCTTCTTAACTCTGACTTAAAAGAGTATCTCAAGTGCTTTTTATCTCTTTGCTGAAAGCCCCAGTACAGTTAGAAACAGTCCAAAGATAGAAAATGCTAATAATTGTATAATTATTAATTGAATTACAGTTGTTTATATTATTAACCAATTAAAATTTGCTTTCTGTTTATTTTTATGAGTTGCTTCATGACAGTATGATAAAGTACTACAGTAATACAGATTTGAACTAAATATTAAGGAGAACTTTGTTCAAGAAAACAGCAGCCATTTGTAAATAAAAACAGTGAAAACGCATTTATATATATTTTTTTAGTTGAAATAAAAACCCCTGTGATTTCTTATTTTAATTGAAACAGTATTTTAGCTTCAATAATCATTACACATAATTCCTGAAAATAATAGGATTAACAAGTTTCTACTCATGCTTGCTTTCCCAAGCAGGCTTACAGATGAGTTTGTAAATTCCTTCTTCAAAAGGCAGCTGTCATAACTGAATATTCCAGATCTGTCAGAATATCTTCTTGAACTTGAGGTCCAAACTAACCTGAAACCAATGGTAGCATTAGTGATGGACAGGCTTTCAGTATCTAGGAATTAATGTGAAAAAATCCCGGACCGCAGAATCATGTAAACACAGAGGTCCATTTGCAAATCTTCCTTGAAAAATGTGTGGAATAGGTCCAAGGAAATGTTCTTTTATGGCTACACATCTTCGGAGGGCACCTTTAGTAGCACATTGTAAAGAATATATAGATGTTTCATCTGCAGCTCATACACATATTCCCGCAGGCATGAATGTTGTGCATTACATGCAGCACTTTTAAGTAACCTCTGAAAACATGAGAAAATCTCACACAGTCAGAATATCAGCAATGTCCAGGTTAGCAACATTTTATATCTATCATTTAAAATCTATGACAAATCTTTTGGCAGTTAATTACCATTCATTATCTGTTTTAAATCAGCAAATGGATAAGAAGTAATCACATAAAAATGGGTTCCAGTAAAACAGGGGAAAGTATTGGAAAATACTTCCAAATAGTAACCTATCACTGTAGAGCTAGGTCCCATGAATTATTTCTGCATATACAAAAATCCGTAACAAGTATGCAAATATTTGACTGTAATCCTATTTAACTTCTGTTCAGGTGGGCCCAAGTGTAGGAACACCGAGAAATTCCACTTCCCATTAAACAGAAGACTGACATTATTATGCTAATGTCATCTGACATGATCCAAATAATTCATACTTCCATCACCCATTTGAATTATGTCAGAATTTTCATTTTGAAACTGAATTACCATTTTATCAGCGATATAGGTTGCCAAGACCACTTTACTCTGTAGTTCATCACAATGTGCTGCTTCCTTGTAGAAGAGTATAAAAGATAATAGTTAACAAAGTCATTGTTCATTTTTTAAACTGCGTGATTCTCCAACTGACTTGTGTACACTCAAGTGTCTAAGTCACCATTTCTTTCTAGGTGTCTGTTTGGTGTACTCCTGCACAACTGGTGTTCAGTTTCATGGTTATTCCATTTAAAAATCACATTCTTCATCATAGTACTAAATACCTATTGTTTACCTTCTAAGAGTCTTGAATTTTGTCGGACTTCACCAACCAACTATAAGATATCCTTGTCTAAGGCTTTTCCTTTCAGCCCAGATTTGTAAAACAGCACTGAGCTATAAAAAAATTTCTCTCTGATTTCTCCATGCAGGTCTAAGAGTATTCTCCTACGTAATTTCAGCTCTGGAAAGTATAAATTGGTAATATCATCATTCATCACAAAAACCCAAATCTGTTGATCCAAAAAAAAAAAAAAAAAAAAGTCCAACGGTATTAATTCCTAAAGGGTTTCAGTTTCAATTGCTTGGTACTAATTCTTTTAGAAATCATGAAATATTATATTAACTAGAAAAGTTGTATATTTTTCAAAGCAGGCAGTTGTCTAGGCCTGCATTAACCATTTGCTGGGACCAAAGCAATTTTCAGAAGTAGTAATGCTCAGGAACAACAGAACTGTTTTCTGTCAGGAAAAAATAATTTGTGGAGGGAACAGAGCTGCACTGGGAGATGTCCCCTGTAGAATTTCTGAAGGGCTGAAAGCAATCACAAAACTCATAGGTTTTTTGGTGAAATGCATAATGGATTTTAACCTTGCCTCATTAAACAGCAGTACATAATACATTATGTATAACCCACACACACACTCACACAATAAACATTTTACAACAGAGTAAAAACAGAGCAGAAGAAAACAGGAATCGAAGGAATCCTATCTTCTTGTTAAATTACATGCTTCTGGAAATCATTCCGGTTGGAATTAATCTGACCAAATACTTATGTCTAAAGCATGTAGGTGTGTACATATAAATAAATAAGTCATTCCAGGCTCTTTATTTCTCCTTTTATGGAGAGAAGTTAACCATGTTTAAGGTGCAGTTCATTGGAGGTGTGAAATACACATCCAAAGTTAGATAAATAATTCCCAGCAGGGGTGAATTTATTTCCATTGATCATAAAAGGAGTACAAGTTGACTGGCTCAGATATTGAAAGCTAAATTACTGATCTCTAACATGGTGAGATGAATCTCAACCTCAGAGACCACTGTGGTGAGACTGGTATAAGAATGTGAAGAGCCAAGAATTAATTTATTCATTATCCAATTGTGTTTTTGCTGAGAAATTTATCTTGAGGGTGTAACGGACAGCAACACTAGAAACAGGAAAAGCATAGATGTCATACCTAGAGATTTGTTGTTGAAAGCTCAGCTAACTTCATGGGATTTTGCAGTTTCTAAAGAATGACACATTTTCTCACAGCCCCATTGAAATAACCCTCTAAGTATTCTTAGAAGCAGATTTTATTTTTTTTCTCCTCAAAAAATAGGCAGTCTGTCTTGTGAAAGGGGCTTACATTACTACAGAAATTTCTGTAGCTGTCATCTGTCTTGTTTCTTGTTATACCGGCATTTACCACATATGTGTGCTAAAGGAAGCAAAAGCAACTCAGAGGACGTTAGGATATCCCCGTGTTAGGATATTTATATTATATATAGAGATATATACTATTATATATAGGGATATATCCTGTGTTAGGATATTTACATTATATATATGTATATATGTATATATGTTAGGATAGGACTTTTGCAGGGTACTATAATCTGAGCAAAAAACATGCCGCTTATTTCTCCAAATAAATGTCACCAGATTACAGTTAAACACATCTTGTCCTCTAAGTTACAGTTTTCAGGAGAGAACTGCCTGAAAGTAAGGATAGAGGTTTTTCTAAGTATTTTATGTAGTCTGTCATATGTATAAATGTCCCAATTTGTTTTACTTGGCAGAGCATGGTAAAGTAAGCTTAACATAGAAGGCTACCTCAGTGTTAATGACTTGGTTTGTTATACAATGATTAGTGGGACAACAGTAAAAAAAAAAAAAAAAAAAAAGGAACTCATATATGAACAGGATCCTATTACCAGTACTGGTAGCTTTAAGCAAGTGTAGTTCACTTGGTAAATATTAATTACCATCCTGTAAGTCTACAGTGTTTTGCAGTAATGTTAAACAAAGTTATTTCAGAATCTGTGATTGTCCACTGATCATTATACAACTTTCAGTAGTTTCTGCAAAGTAAGCATTTTTCTGCACAGTATCATAAGCAACTGTGACTGATAGCAGCAACAACAAATTAATGAGAATATTATACTATAAAGGCAGTAACAGTTACATTATGAAGTTCTGATGATAAGTCTCATTTTTAATATGGATAAACAACAAATCATAATTTTGAAATATTTTTGAAGGAAATGCAGAAAAAAGATGAACAAAGCACGTGTACAGAGATTGCATAAACTTATGTTTAGTTGTAAACTCATGTTTTGTTGGCTTATAGCTTGATAGGAAGCTATATAAACTAAAGATAATGTATTTCTAAATATGAGGGTCAGTATTGGGAGCCACAGGCTTGTTACAGACACAGGATGCCTCTGCAGGAGACTACAACGGAGCTTCTTTAATGACAGAGTAATTCAGCAGCTGTGCAAGGATGCAATTTGATCACATTTTGAAAAGTGTGTGTGCAGAGCACAGTGATCTAATTCCCAGGAATAAGTTCAGAATTGAGAATAGACCTGGTGTGGAACCTGTCTAAAGGCACTTGCATCTGGAAACATTACATTGTAGTAAAGTTGACCCATTTTTGGATGTAAGATGCCTGTGAATATTCCTGGCTCATAGGAAATACCTGAACTTACAGTCCCTATTTTCATTTTGAAATCCATGGTTGTTTGTTTGCTTTTTCATTTTATAGCAGTGGAAATGGGACAGATGTTACCCACTGCTGTTCTTGATAAGCAGCTTCAGCTGCTGAGGTTTTATTCTCATGTCTGAAATGTAAGCTTTAATGAATGTTTTGAATTGTTGGTGATCTCTGTGCTGTAAAGGTGGAAATTAGTGGATATCTTTATGGTTTAAGGAAGCATTGTCTGGTAAGATTTCTTTAAATTCAAAAACTGCTTCTTTGTAATTTAAAGTCGTACAAACTAAATAAAAGTATATAATGTTTTCACTGTTAATATGTCTTTGTGAACATCTAATAATTTAAGAAATCATTATTTCCTTTACATTATTAAGAACTATTTTTTTTTCTTTACATATAGATTCTGAAGCTTAATATATTTTGTCATTCCAGTGTTACACAGTTAAGTTTTGCAACACAAAGAAACCGCATTTTTTTACTGAATTGAGGAAAGATTATGTAGAAGTGTTTTAAACCTGTACTTGCAAAGCACTTCTAACACATCTAACAGTATTTTTACAGTCCAATAATTTTGTTCTGTGAGCTGCAGATATAATCCTATTAAATATTTTGTGAAGGGAGATTCAGAATGTTATGAAAAATTGGAGAATACTGTTACCATTCTATATAGAATAACTTTGAGCCTCCTAAAAATAGTTATTAATACATTTCACATATTGAACGTATATTACATTGTGCCAAAAAGTAAGATGTAATTGTAATTTTAATGAGAGCAGATGAAAATACTTTCCAGCTAAAACTTTGTAACAGTTTCTGGTTTCTAGTAAGTTGCTATTGTAACTATGTCTTCATATTTTCCTTGTTTTTTATATACATAATTTAACTCAAGTAACTAAGCAGTCTCTTTTTTTTTTTTCTTACACAGCAGATGGTACGTGAACAATACACTACAACAACACCAGGCACTAGCCTAGAGAGGCCAAAGAATGAGTACGTCTACAAAATTGGAATTTATGGATGGAGAAAGCGTTGCCTCTACCTGTTTGTTCTTCTACTGCTAATCATCCTAGTTGTGAATTTTTCTTTGACAATTTGGATTCTTAAAGTGATGTGGTTTTCTCCAGTAAGTGTCCTTTTAAATTTTCCATTCTTTACATATTCTCTTTTCCTGCCTCACCATTTCCTTTATTTCATATGTACCTCAGCTTTTCTGTTTTTTATTAATTGTAATTTGTACTTGGGTTGACATATATGTATGTGTGGTTTATCTTTGAACATATCTATTGATCTGTAATTTCTTTATTAGCATTAATTTTCAAAATATTGAGGTTGTTGATACCTTTTATTGAAGTGAGTTCTAACTACTGTGAAGAGAATGTATTTTATTGTTCTATTGTAGTGTGTTTAGTTTATATTTTATAAATATGTGCTGTCATTTTCTCTTATACACTAGAATCGACTAGTGTTAAAAGATTGCTCTCAGGTGCTGTTTTTTTTCTTAGTTTAATTCTCTTGTTTATCAGCATCTAAAATTTAACAATTTATTTGACCAATTAATTAAAGCTCAGAGGTAATTATTATTACTTCATGCCTGAGGCTAAACAGATGTATTATTCAGGAAAAAAATGTAATAACTTTCCACTGCCATATGTGTTTTAATATTTATAATGCAATTTTGTGTGTAGTAGATTAAGGGGTAACTTACAGAAATCTGCAAGATATAGCTTTAGTCAGAATGCAATAAAATGCATCAGTGAATATCAAAGAGCTAATTTGTCCCTAATAAGCAGCTGTGATATAGAGATGATATGAGTAAACTAGTTACAAGAAAAACAATAATAGTTAATTCCTACAGCTCTGCCCTGCTATTGAAGAAAATTGCCACGATCTATCATTGTTACACCTCTGTCACTAAATGGAGGGTATTAGAACTTCACAGAAGCATTTCTATACTTTGCATTCTCTTACTATAAAGAAAATAGGTTAATTTTAAGTGCTACTTGCTAATATGTACTGCTGCTTGAATTTCCATCAAGTTTCTTCCCCCACATAATTTCTTTTCAACAGCGTTACTGCCATAGAGATTACAGTGTGGAACATCTTAGATCACATATAATTTTTCTGTTATGCAGTTCACATGAAAGATGAGCACTTAGTGTCTGCATATCATGAATCACAGGAAATATGAATAATTGTTAAAATAGTTTTCTGTGTGGCTGATATTTTTAAGCAGTTTTTAAATCTGTTTCTGTTGGCTTGGTTTCTCTGTATGAAACTGGGTGTTTCTTCTCTAACATCAGTCAGGACTAACAGAATAGTATCAGAAACTCCACTTTCAGGAACCACTGTCTCCTACTAGGTGTCTGTGAAGAAGGCACTAAATGGGTCAAACTGCTGAAGCACAACATCCTTATGCCATTGCAACAAGAGCGGTTTAATAACAACTCAAGTACTGCAGGCTTATACTCTTCTGATGGATGGACTGTGCATGCCATGGCTATAAGGATTTTCTTAATTCTCTGTTAAAAAATCTGTATTCCTGACATACTCTGACAGTGAAATAGTGACTTAACTGCAATGCTGTCCTCTATAGGGGTTAATTCTAGGGAACTACCAAACTCAGTTCTAGAACAAGAGTAAGAGCTGGGCAAAGTACAGGTGTGTGTCACAATTCTTGGCAAAAGTATGTACAACACCATTAAGAAATGGAAAATTGTTTTAGTATCTTGTCAAGATAAGAAGCAACTCAGATGATACCAGAAATAACATCCAGAGAAGTGCTGTTAGCCTCTAAGAAAAGTCCAAGAAAGACTGTAGGGTATACTAAGAGTATAGAACATAATAGGTAGCATAACTTGAACAAGCATACATGTATTGCTTGTTCAAGTCTGGAAGTATAATCGAAGCATCACAGTCCTTTCCTGTGTCTAAGGAAATACCGTTTGTAAAGAGTGAAGGTAACAGTCATAGAAGTCACTAATGCTATGATCACATGATTTTCCTGATGAAATTAAGCTTTTATGCCTCCAATTTTTGGTTAACCATTAGAAAAAGAAGGGTAGCAGTATATTTTCAGAAACTGTTTTTTATCGTTCTTGAGTTCTACCCACAAATGGTATTTGCTATCTAAGAAATAATTTGATTAATATATACCCAATACTTACCCAACTAAACATTCTCATTATTGGGAAGAGGTTAAAAGTAATTGTGAAATATCCTATGCAGTCATCAGTTATTTGGCAAATATTAGTCTGTTAGCTGTGATGATACTTTTTATATTTATTATGTATTCCAGGTATACTGTGTAGACATTATACTACTTATTATGCTTAATTATAATAATAGATACTTTGTTTTTAACATATACTTAAAGAAGTATTCCGTCCTAGTTTTAAAAAATACATTTAAATGTCATCTCTGTTAAAAATATCAGATTAATACCAAACAAAATTTTAACTGTTTCTCTGTAAAATAATATCAGGAACAAGCTGTATTATTCTTTCTAAGGTTGATAAACATATTTAGAAGAGAAAAAAAAAACCACATACATGAGGAGTATTTAAAAAGGTATTTTACTAATATACTTTAGAATATACAAACATCATATGATCATACATTATCCCCGTTAATAGATATAGATACAGATAAAAATAATAATGGAACTCTGAACAGAGTTTGCATTGGCTTTGGCAATGTAGAGTTCTATGGCAAAACAGAGTTCTATGGCTTTGGCATAGAATTAATTCATGGATACATCTTTTGTCTCAACGCCCCCCCAGAAAACAGACAGTGTGATAAATACTAGCAAACAAGCTAAGCTGATAAAGGAGAACACGGACCAGACATAGACATGCTGCAAGATGAATAGATTTTAATCTTCTTGTAGAAATTTAGAAGGATGATGAAAGACAGAGACTTTTCTGAACTCCATTGTTTGAGAGGCCTTCAGAATTTAATAAGCATCACTACGCTGAACAGAATTTCATTCAATTTCATAAAAACTAGGCTAAAAGGGAACAACGTGAACATAGAATGTATTCCTTTTCTCATAGTGCTCCAATTCCATAGTATATGAGTATCTCCAGGTTGTGCAGATTGATTTATGAGTATCAGATATGGTTTACTCTTTTTTTCATTTTCTCTCCCAGAGTTTGGGGGAACAGGGTCTCAAGTAATTTAGGGAGATGAGGGAAGTAAGCTATGAATTCTTTATATTCATCTGCTTTAGAGAAGACAGGATTAAGTATTTATGCCTTGAGCTTGGTGAATAAGGTGAAATAGAACAATTTAAAAACTGGAACTGCATGAAAATTAGAAAGTTGTAAAAAACTGCAGGTGGTTGTTGTTTTGTTGGTGGTGTTGGTGGTGTTTTCCCATGGTCATAACATATCAAAATTGCTCATGAAACGGAAATTCCAGATTTCATTTTTTATGTATTGAGGCTTTCTGAGAACTAAAGGGGACTGATAGTCCTAAGAGTTTAAAAACTAAGAATCCTAAGGAATTTGGGGCTGCAACAGGACCAGGATGTCAGAAGATGTGAGTGATTCTGAGGGGTCTGATAGTTCTGAAAAGGGGGACTTAAACATCCCTGACAGCTCCTGAAAGGACGAATATGGCAGGATAGAAGCAGTCAAGGTTTCTTGATGGTAACTGGAATAACTGATGATTATGGATACTGGATGGGCCAACTAGAGGCAACACACAGTAGGAGCTGATACTGATGAACAAAGTAGATCTAGGGAAGTGTGGTAATCAATGGCAGTATTTGTGAAATAGTGGAATTCAAGATCTTGAAGGGAGTGAGGAAGGAGAGTAGCAGAGTACAGACGCTGGACTTCAGTGGTGCAGATTTGGTTTATTCCATGTGGGAGACAGAATCCCAAGGGAGGCAGATCTGAAGGATGAAGTTACTCAGGAAAACTTACTGATGTTTAAGGACAACATCCTTCAAATGCAGAAATGATCTGTCCTGAAATTCAGGAAGATTAAGTAGTCAGGCTTAGGTAGACAGTGTACTCATGATGGAGCTCCAATGCAAAAAGCAATATAGAATAGTTGGAAGCAGGGACAGGCTTCCAAGAAGAAATTTAGAAACATTGACTGGGCAAGCAAATGTATCAGGCTTCATGTGTCAGCAAAGCCAAAGCTCCGATTTGTTTGAGACTTTCAGGGATCATCAAGGGCTTGTTCTGTTGCATTAGTAGTACAAGAACAAGGAAAATGTGTGTCCATTACCAAACGGGACAGGTAAGTTAATAACAGCAGACGCAGACAAGGCTGAGGTGCTCATTATTTTCTTTGCTTCTGTCTTCACCAGCAAGTTCTCCCAGGCCTCTGCTTAGAGAAAGGAGAACTACTAGCAGTGCATGAGGGCAGAATCAGAGATTGTTTGAAAGACCTCAGCCTACATAACCTTATGGGACCAGCTCATCTGTCTCCATGGGTGCAGAGAGAACTGTCTGATGGCCTTACAAACTCATGTTTGAAATTTTATGGAGACTGCAGAGATCCCTGATAACTGGAAGAAGACAAGTGTTGCTTGTCTCCCCATCCACTCTCCCCCCCGCCCCCTCCCCCCAAAAAAAAAAAGTCCAATGAACAGCCTAGGGAATTACAAGCTGCTCAATCCCACTTCAGTTCCTGTGAAAATGGTAGAGCAAGTCCTCTTGGAAGACATTTCAAGGTGCATGAAAGAGAAGAGGGTAAATGAGAACAGTAAGCATAGATTTAGTAAAGGTGGATGATGACTGACCAGTGTGATTACATCTATGATAAAACGTCCGGATTTATAGATGAGGGGAGGGTACTGTATGTCATTTACCTTGAATTTAGCAAGGCTTTCAACATTCTTACACAATATTATTGTATCCTAGTTGCCCACATGATGCGCAACCAGATGGGTTAAAAAATCGACTGGATGATCAGGCTTGGAAGATAGCCTGTACATGTAGTTCTGCCTCCCTTGGGGTTTCCGGGCAGCAACAAAGCCAACAGATCCTGTGTGAGCAGGGTCAGAGCCAGAGACTGAGGGAAATGATTATCCCCCCTTTACTCAGCACTCATTAAAGCACACGTACAACACTGCCTCCAGTTTTGAGCCCCCCAGTAGAAGAGTAATAT